CCCAAGACCGCCCCCAGGCGGTCCCAGAGACCCCACAGACGGCACCCAAACGGCCCAAGAGGCGCCCAAGGTGGTCTCAAAGGGCCCCAAAACGGGCCAGCCCAAGAGGGGGAGTCCGAACCGACAATCCGAGCCTTCCATCCCAAGATGCCCGCAACAGGCCCCAAGAGGCGGCCCCCAAGAGGCCCCAAGAGGGGCCCCCAGGAGGTCCCCAAGACGCCCCAAGAGGCCCCAAGACTGCCCCCAAGAGGCCTCAAAACTGCCTCCGCAAGGCCCCTGGAGGCCTCCCGCGACATCCCAACGGATCCTAGACCCCTACGACCCACAACCCAGGCACAGAAGCGGGATGGGCAAACGACAATGGCATACCGATCTGCATACATAAATACATCAGTCTCTGTAGATATATGCCTATACCTATATACATACAGACTTACAGCCATGCGTTGGAACATACACACACATACCTACCAACGTACCTATATATATATATATATATATATATATATATATATATATACATACATGCATACATGCATACAAACAAACATGCATACATAGTTACATACATACATACGTGCACACATACGAACGTACTTACGTACTACGTACGCACATGCATACAGACAGACAGGCAGACACGCATACATACATACATACTAGAACCATCGCGCGCGCTTCGCGCGCGCTCAAGTTCTAGCTAGGCTTGATAGGCTAACTCACGTAATATCATGTTGGTCGTTTCTTGCGTCCAGGGACTCCCTTGGAGGCCCTGCTCAAGCCTCGGAATCGTATAGAAGGGGAAGTGCGGAAACGCAGAAAACATTAATTTTCTTTAGGTATTCAACGATTTGGGGCCCTCAAAAGCTTCCTGTGTTCTTTTTGGGGAGTTGAGGGGGGTCTGAATTGTGGTCTGTTGTGCAAGAGTAGACCCGGGGCCAAACTTGAAAACAAAAAGGAATTGTGGGATTTCCATGCTTTTCCAGTTCTTCGGCGCTGTTCGGCGCTGTTTTTTGTTTGTGCCTCGCGGGTTTTGTTAGCTGGGCCCCTCAGGGGTGTGGGATCTTCTGGACCCCCTGGAGCTTCTGGAGGCCTCCTGGAGGCATGGAGAGCCGCCAGAAGGGTGTCTCAGGCTGCGCGGGAGCGTGTTGGGCCGTTCTTTACGTTCTGGGGGCTCCCTGAGAACGACATGGGCTGTCCTTCGGCGTCTTGGGGTCTCCCCCCAGGACGCCGGGAGACGCGGTACCGACCAGATGTCAGGGGATGTGTGGGACCCCCGAGTAGGAGTCCCACTTTGAAAAAAAAAGAGCTCTGGGAATTCCTTTTGTCTGCTGTCTAGAATCCTCGATCTTCGAGGGTTGGAAGCGGGAAAACGTGAGAAGGCGAAAAACATTAGAAAAACCATGGGAAATCAACGATGTACCCTCTTTGGGCTCTCTCGGGACGGCTCTCGCAGCTCTCTTGGGCTGTTCTTGGAGCCTCGTCGGGGTCTTTCTGGGGCCTCTCAAGGATCGGAGGTGTTAGGGGCCTCTGGGGGGTCCTGGAGGCCTCTCGGAGGTCTCTGGAAGCCTCCTGCTCCCGCTCTTGGGCCCATCTTGGGCCCGTTCTGGGGTGGTCTGGGGCTGTCCTGGGCGCCTCTTCGGCAATCTTGGAGCCTTCTTGGCCCGTCTTGGGGCCGTCCTGAGGGTCTCTTGGGTGGTCTTGGGGCGGTCTTGGGAGGCTCGTCGGCGCTCTTGGACCGTTGGAAGCTCGAAAACGCGAGAAGCCAAAAACATTGAAAAAAAATGGAACATCTACGATTTTAGCCTCTTCGGGCCGTCCCGGGACGCCTCTCGGACCTCTCTGGGGGTCTCTTGGAGGCCACCTGGGAGCCTCGAGAGCCGTTGGAAGGCTGCCTTGGACTGATCGGGAGCGTCTTGGACCATTCTTTCGAATTCTGGGGGCTTCTGGGAGGCGTCTTGGGCCCTCCTGGGACGCTGTGAAGGCTCCCCGGAAAGGCCGGGGGAGCGGTACGGAACCCGTGGCCGGGAGCGGCGGAATTTAGCTATATCATATAAAACCGCGCGCTTGGGTTCTAGCGCATGCCATGGCGTTGTTAACTGCGCGTGCTTTTCGGACAGGCTCATGCCATGCCTTGCCTTACCTCGTCCTCCAATATTCCTTATACTTCCTTCCTCGTTAACCCTCCAGGCTCTCTCGGTTGTCCTTGCTTTTCGTTCCTCGTTCTTATCGACGGCCTCCTCTTGCTTGGGATTATGCGGGGGCTTCGAGCTGTTCAAAGCCGGCGTGGGAAGATATTCAATATGAAGTGGGCTGGCTTGAAATGTACGGGTCTCTTGTGGATCTTCCTGTTTGGGCTGCCTTGAAGGCCTTGGGGCCCGCTTGGGCCCCTCTTGGGCTCTTCTTCGAAGTTGTGGGGCCGTCTCGAGCTTCGGCGCTATGTGAAGCTCTCCCGAAGCCATCCGAAGGAGAAGAGCGTGATATTTACTGAATATGGAGAAACCTGATTGGCTTTTGCGTTTATGGCTCTCTGGGGTCATTTGGGAGGGCCTTTGGGAGTTCCATTGGGGCATCTTGTCGCCCCTGGGGGCCGCCTTGAAACATCTTTGAGCGTCTTGGACCACTAAGGGGCCATCTTGGCGGCCAGCGGGCGTCGCTTGCTCTGAGTAGAAAGTGCCTGGGATGCAGCGGCCAGCGCTGTACATGAGCTGCTACCTTGGGCTGCAGCTCGCTGAATACTGCTGCGCGAAAGGCGCTGCTACCCTGGGCTGCAGCGCCATGCAATTAAATACCCCGGCATTGCTTATCCCACACGGTATTTGAACGAGAGATGGACATGCTTGGTTCGCACATGAATTTCTGTCCTGAATCCTAATGGATGAGCATCTAATCCAAATCCAAAATTCCCGAATTCCTTGGGGCCTTCGGAAGCTCCGCGAAACCGTTGAGAAGCCAGGAGGCGCGGTACTGGCCAGATGTCAGGGGATGTGTGGGACCCCCGAGTAGGAGTCCCACTTTGATGAAAAAAAGGAATTCTTGGAATTCCCTTTCTTTTTTTCCCCAGAATCCTCGATCTTAGAAGGTTGGAAGCGGGAAAACGTAAGAAGGCGAAAAAACATTAGAAAAACCATGGGAAATCAACGATTGTACCCTCTTTGGGCTCTCTCGGGACGGCTCTCGCAGCTCTCTTGGGCTGTTCTTGGAGCCTCGTCGGGGTCTTTCTGGGGCCTCTCAAGGATCGGGGGTGTGTTGGGGGCCTCTGGGGGGTCCTGGAGGCCTCTCGGAGGTCTCTGGAAGCCTCCTGCTCCCGCTCTTGGGCCCATCTTGGGCCCGTTCTGGGGTGGTCTGGGGCTGTCCTGGGCGCCTCTTCGGCAATCTTGGAGCCTTCTTGGCCCGTCTTGGGGCCGTCCTGAGGGTCTCTTGAGTGGTCTTGGGGCGGTCTTGGGAGGCTTGTCGGCGCTCTTGGACCGTTGGAAGCTCGAAAACGCGAGAAGCCAAAAACATTGAACAAAAACATTGAACATCTACGACTTCGGCCTCTTCGGTCCGTCCCGTGACACCTATCAGACCTCTGGGGGTCTCTTGGAGGCCACCTGGGAGCCTCGAGAGCCGTCGGAAGGCTGACTTGGGCTGCTTGGGAGCGTCTTGGGCCATCCTTTCGCCTTCTGGGGGCTCCTGGGAGGCGTCTTGGGCCCTCCTGGAGCGCTGTGGAGGCTCCCCGGAAAGGCCGGGGGCGCGGTACCGGGAGCGTCCCCGAGATGTGGCGGGGAGGTGTGGGACCCGGGGCCGGGGGGGGGCTGTATTCTTCATACATATATAGATCTATAAATAAATAAAGAACCACGCGCGCGCCTCGCGCGTGCTTAGGTTCTAGCGCGTCACAGACACAGGAATCGCTGTGCGAAAAAATGTTTGGAGGTTCTCAGGCCAGTGAGGACTCCAATGACTCCAGTGGCAACACCTGCTTGAGGCACCGCCAGAGACGGACCCTGTGTAGAGTGTGGAAGGTCTGACCAGCTCTCTGGTCGACCCTCTTGGGCGCGCCCTGGGGCTCTCTTGGGCCGTTTGGGGGGGCCCATTGGGGGGCTGTTTCGGAGCCTCTTTTGGTGTTTTTTGCGGGTCTCTTGGGGGCCTCTTGAGGCTTCTTGGGCGCTTCTGGGAGCCTCTTGGGGTCTCCTGGAGGCCTCTTGGGCCAAGTGGCTCGCATTTTCGGTTTCTCGTCCCCATCTTGGGCGCCGACTTGGGGCGTTGTTGAGCGGTTTAGGCGTCTCGTGGGCCGGCCTCTTGGAGCCTCCTGGGGACGTCTTCGCAATGGGGCCTCCTGGGGGCCTCTGGGGCCGGAAGCTCGGAATTTGAATATGGTTGTGCATCTCTGGGACCCCTTTGGGCCTCGTCCTGGGGCTCTCTTGGGCTGTCTTGGGGGCCTCTTGGGCGTCTTGAAAAGCGTCTGGAGCCATCGCTGCGGCCTCCTGGGGCCTCCCTGCAGCCTCTTGGGACCCTGTTGGCCCCGGGTCGCCGAAACCCTGTAAAAAAACACAGGGAAAGCGACGCCCTGGCCGCACATTTGTGGTCGTGGTCGCGGCCCCCAGCCCCCGGACCTGGTCCCCCGTTATATGTACACATACATGCATGCATGCATGCATGCATACATACATACGATCCATACAAACTTACACATACACACCTATACACACACATCAATACACGCACACAAGCATACATGCATACATACATACATACATACACGCACAGAAGCATACATGCATGCATGTATGCATACATACATGCATGCATGCATGCATGCATGCATGCAGACAGACAGACAGACAGACAGACAGACAGACAGACATGCATGCATGCATGCATACATATACATACCAGTCGGCCCAGGCAGGGTGACTTGGGAAGGAGGTCGTACATTTGCTCTCCTGCCCTGGGGGGGCGCTGAGCTCCGTTCGCCCCCCCCCCGTCCCATTCGTCGTCCTCACTGGGCGGCCAACCTGCACGAGCTCCTCGGCGGACTGAGCGCGCCGCGCTGGGGCCTGGCGCGCCAGCGCACCCTCGGAGCCGCGCACCGGGGATGCGCGCGGGCTGCCCGCGGCCTCGCCCGCCACGCCCGGCTGGGCCCTGCCGGGCAGGGTCCCCACGGGCGGCGGAGGCGGCAGCCGCGCCGCGTCCGCCGCAGCCGCGCTCGGCAGCGGGGCGGCCGGGGCGGGCTCCGCGGCAGCGGCGGCGCGGTCCGGCGGCCGGGTGCACCCCCAGGCCGCCGCGGGCCCAGCCTCGGGCAGCTCCCGGTCGGGGAGGCAGGGAGACCGCACGGGCCGCGCCGGCGGCGCAGCGGCCCTGCGCGCGGGCGACGTGGTCGCGGGAGGCTGCACCGTGGGCTCGGCGGCTGCCGCGGCGGCGGTGCGGACGACCAGAGGGGCGCAGGGCTGCTCATGCTCATGCAGGGGGCCAAGAGTCCGGCCGCCCCACCGTCCACGCCGCGCGGCCCCGCGCGAGTAGGCGCGGGATGTCGCCGTGGAGCCGCACGTGGACACCGCGCGCGGGACGGCATCCGCGCTCGCCCCTCGCGCTGGCGCACCGTCCACATCCTTCGGCGATAGAAAACCCGCGGTCGATGGTCCGGAGCAGGGCGGGCCCGCGGGGGGTGGTAGCCGTCTCCACACCCTGTCCGCCCTCCCCCCGTGGCCCCCTTCGTGGATCCTCCTGGGCTGGACTTTCTGCGAGGTGGGACCTCGGATGGCGGTGGATATGGACATACTTTTCCCCCCAGGGCAAGAGACTAGCACTATCCACCGCGTGCCGAGGTCCCCGAAGGTCGATCCCCCAGGCAATGGCCATTGGAGGGGACGAAGACGGGGACCATGATGACCAATATACTCAACGTGGAAACGTCGGTGCCGAGCTTGGTCACCGTCGATCCTGGACAGCACCGTTCCGTGAGCAGCTCCCGCGCATCTGCGACGGCCGACATGGACCATGATCAAGATCGGCATCGACAAGATCCCGGGGCATGGTGGTCATGGTCCCCGTGCCTCCCCTCTAGGATAGGTCGGGCGTGTCCTTCTGCAGGCGGATTCTGGAAAAACAAATAGCAAACACTACTCGAAAATTGTCAAAAGTAATTTTTAGAAAATCATCCCCTGACTATTTTTGAATATTCCTCCTGCAGAGGGGCACGCCTGTCTTAACCCTATGAGAAGAACACAACACAATGAGCGTAAACCTTCGACGGCCCGCGCGGAAGTCTTAGACCTGCGCTTGGGACCCCCCTCTCTGGCGCGCGCCGCCCGGGGGCCTCAAGCGCCGACCCTGGAAATCCCCGCGGAGCTCTGAAAGTGTATGTTCGTGCCGTTGCTTGATCTTCAATCCTCGGCGTGCAGTCGACACGCATGATCAGGACACACGATGAGAATGCAGGGGCCTTGGAAGGGCGTTTCGAAGCTTTTCGAGCGGGGCGCGGCCAACAGAAGTGGCCAAGAATGGACCGAGGAGGCAAGGATGCAAGGGTACCCTTGGGAACATTGCTCGTCCTTGCCAAGCGGGTTGACTGTATGGACACATCGCGCCTCGGAATTGCGGTCGGCCGGGGTCCTTGGTAGTGCGGACCTCCGCAGTCATCCGAAGCTCCTCGACCGCTCGCCGCCGGATCTGCTCGGCGCGGTGCCGGACCTCCCGGAGGCCCGGCGTGGCCTCCGCCTCCGCGTCCAGCTGAGCGCCAGCGTCGCCGTCGGGTCCCTGCCGCGCCCTGCAGCGGGGACCCCCATCGCACCCGATGATCCGCAGGACGTGCGCCAGCACCAGCGTGTGCTTACAGTGGGAGCTCGACCACAAGAAAAACCTTCCACAAGAAGCCCGACCCCGAGACCCCAGGACGTCCATGGATTTTCTTTTGGTGTGGGAACGTCACTCTTTCCACAGCAACTCCATCGAAGCCCAAGAAACGAAGGGTACCCTGGAGCCATGCAGGGTGTTTCGCAGCATGGGCTTCCACTGCTTCGTGTCGTGCCGACCCCGGCGCTGGTTTCTGACACCGCGGGATCGTTCAACCTCGAACGCTCGGCTGTTTCCGGGAACGCCAGATCGTTAAACGATTGGCCGATTCTGGGCCACGCGCGGCGTTCAGCCTTGAATACCCGCGCGCGGGTCGCCGCTGGTCGACACGACGCGAACCTACCGTACGCTCAGGGCGCCCTAGGTCGATGGCGAGCGAGGGGGGGAAAGTGACAAGGGGCCCAAGAAACCAAGAAACTCAGGGCACCCTGGAGGCGAGCAGGGTGCTTCTTGGCAAGGGGCTTCCACTGCACGCGCCGAAAATCTTCGGTGCGGCGCGGGCGGCGTGGTGAGAGGGCCGACGGAGGCTGCGTGCCGTTGGTGGTGGTCCGAGCGGGGTGAAGCACACGACGGGCCACGCAACACGCGCGTCCGGAGGATCATCGACGGACCCGTCCGTGTGGGCATGCTCCCATGGCTGACAAAAGAAGGACCCCCTTAACCCTTTGCGAGGGGACGCAAATCAGGAGAGCAAAAAATCCGCCGACCCTGTCGGCGTGTGTGAGGGGCTTTTCCGTTCGAGCCGTCATCTCCGTTATTCTTTGTACTCGTCGTCTCTGTCCTTCCCTTTCCCTGGGACTCCTCTTCCCCTGGGCTCCAGCCAAGCCGACCTTGAGCAACGTCGTAATTCAGTCGAAGGGAAGCCCCTTCCCTTTGATCCCTCCCCCGCCGGGAGAAGGGGGGCAGCGGGGGGGGGTAGCGACCCCCCCCCCCGGGTCAGATACGACGCCCCCCCCCCGTACCGACCTTGAGCAACGTCGTAATTCAGTCGAAGGGAAGCCCCTTCCCTTTGATCCCTCCCCCGCCGGGAGGGGGGGGGGGTAGCGGGGGGGAGCGACCCCCCCCCCGGGTCAGATACGACGCCCCCCCCCGTACCGACCTTGAGCAACGTCGTAATTGAGTCGAAGGGAAGCCCCTTCCCTTTCCCTTCCCCGACGGGGGGGGGAGGGGGGGTCCCGGGGGGGGTCCCGGGGGAGTCCCGGGGAAGTCCCGGGTCAGATACGACACCTCCCTCCCCCACCTTCTCGTCCTTCTCCCCGTTCCCCAAAACCATCCCACAGCCCGTGCCTCTTGCTGCGCATTGCGAACAGGGTCGGCGGCACCGGCCGTAAGGCCTTCGCAATATGAGGGATAGTCGAGCCGTACCGTAAGGATGCACGATAAGGATGCAAGGCCCTTGGACGGCCGTTTCGAAGCTTTTCGAGCAGGGCGCGGCCGACGGAAAGTGACCAAGGATGGACCGAGGATGCAAGGATGCAAGGGTGGGTACCCTTGGGAATATTACCCATCCTTCTTATGCGGGCTAACTGTAGGGGGTCTGTTTTGCAGATGTATCGAATCCAACCGCCCAGAATGATCATCCCTGATGCTAAGGCGGGGACCTCGGTGAGGCCACGTCCTTTCCCCTCCGTGAGGTAGGGCGGGCAGTGGCAGCGGATGGAGAAGAGGGAGAGAAGAGAGAGGCGAGGAAGGCAGCAGCGCAGAGGGAGGGGCCGAGCGAGGAGCGAGGAGCGAGGAGGGGAGGCGGCAACGTGCGAAGGCGTCAAGCGCCGCGCGCCCTCATCGATCAGCAAGTCACGCTCAGACCACACGTCAAGATGTGTTGCGGCTCTGTGGGGATAGAGTCGGTCCGTGCCATAGGGATGCGCGATCAGGATGCAAGGGCCCTGGACACCCATGTCGAAGCTTTTCGAGAGGGGCGCGGCCGACGAAAGTGGCCAAGGCTGGGCCGAAGGGGCAAGGATGCAAGGGCACCCTTGGAAAACTTGCTCGTCCTTGCGAGGGCGTCAAGCGCGCGCCTTCATCGATCAGCAAGCAACGCTCGGGCCACACACCAAGACAGTGTGGCGGCTGTGGGGATCGCCTCGTCCACAACGGGCTCCTCCGAGCAGTGCTCCCGCACGCGACGTCGGCCGCGCCACTGCCCTCGAGGCGCGCCCTGCCCCCCTCGCTGGCGGTTCCCCAGGCCTTCCCGGACGTGCCCCTGCGCGCCGACCGAAGACCTTCACTCTGCTGCTCGCTGAGTGCGCACTGCCTGGGCACGCGCACGAGAGCCGATGCCTCACGCGGCCAGTTGCACGCGTCATCGCTTGGGCTGTGTTCCGGAGCATGTCGTTGGCTTCGGCACGACTGTGTTGCAGGGCCTCTCTTCGTGGCGCGGCCGAGGGCACCCGCCAGCTGAGCTGAGACGCCGAGACACTTGACACCGCCCCCGGTGCCCTTTCAAGGCCAAACGCATCCTCCACGTTCCATGCAACAAGTACGGTGTCCAGCCCTTGTCGTGTGCACAAATTACGCTCGGACGGGTCGGCGACGGGTGGGTGCGGAACAACCGTCTGCCACCTGGCTCCTCGCTCGGCTCTTCCCTGCCGTTTCGAATTGGGTTCCACCGCCGTCCCACGGCTGAATACCAACGCACTCTTTCTCGCCGAAGCTCTTGCGCCAACCAGATCCGATGTCAGAACCACTGGCTCCGCTACCACGTCAAATCGCCTTCAAATACAAATCATCAAATCCATCACCGAGCCGTGCCGAGGCTTGTGCGTCGGGCTCCCCCCACCGCATCGAGGCTGCTGCGCGTCCGTTGAGCGATGCAAGTCCACGGGCGCGTGGACTTCCGAGCGAAAGCCGAAGCCCAAAGCAGTCTTTACGGTAGAATGTCGTGGCCTCGGCATACCCGCGTCCACACGCCCAGCCCCCACAGCGGGGTGGCGCACACGAGCAGCAACGCAGCTGGAGGACGGCAACCAACAATCAATATCTTGAGAGGCGCAGTCGATCGGCGGCCTTCGGGCGCTGCGGACCGATGTCTCGGCACCATTTCTCGATCGCAACACGTTGCAACACACGTCACCATCGCCAACATTGGTGCAACGGTTGAAATGGATGGGCTTCCGTGATACGAATTCTGATACTTAACATGAAAGAAACGGGTCTTGTGGGAAACGGGTCCTGGACCCCGGGGCCTCCCCCAAGACTAGTCCTTCATCCTGAGGCGTTTCCTGAAAGTCCCAAGGCCCGTGGAGGTCCCCAGGAACACGACACTGGCGAAACACCAGGCCGTATCCTTCATGGCGAGATGCAGTGGATGCAGTGACGGTCTGCCTGGAGAGGAAGGGCCATGCTTGGACTCTTTGCCTGACGCGTCAGGAGCTCAAGGGGCCCCGTGCTGGAGCCAGAGAGGCAATCCGCAGCAGGGCTGAGAGAGCTCCTGAGCGCGAGGAGGGACGCAGGCAAAAGCACCCTGCAGAGGCAGGGGCGGGAGGGAGGGTCCGCGCCTCGGAACGATGCACGGCACAGGCGCTGGCGAGAGGGGGGGCCAGGAGGGCTTGCATCCCCCTGGCGGGTGAGGAGAAGGGGCGAGGCAGCCATAGAGGCCGAGGCCTCCCGGATGAGGTCGGGTAGACGAGGGCGGGAGGATGGCAGGGAGCGAGGAGGGGGAGACGGGGGGGGGGGAGGGAAGCATGACCGGACCCGCAGGCAACACGCCCCGCACGAGCCTTCCAAAGGCCAAGGTGGCCTTCTGGGGGCCAACGTGACCGACGCGCGCACCCGGAGAGGAATCCAGAACAGTGAAGCATGGGAGCGTGTTCAAGACACCTGGCCTCAGCTGCTCTGATACGCAACACGCAAAAAGGTATCGCATACGTAGCGTACTGATACGGAGCTCAGCACGTAGACTGAAAGCGTTGATCTGACGCGGTACGTTCGCCAAAACGTGAGCCGATACGTTGAACCAGCACGCCACGTACCGACACGGACGTTTTGAACACTGTGCGTACTGCGTATCAGAACGGGCGTATCGAGGCAGCTCAGCACCTGGCTGGGCGACAGGGACAAAGAATGCTGAAAGGATCGATGGTGATGAACCAGGCCATGGGGCTGGGCTGTGCTGTGCTGTGCCGTGCTCACTTGCAGTGTACCGTCCCACCTTAGACTGAACGGTGAATGATTACGGTGTGGATCAAGCCGTCCTTGGCACCCGAATCGTGACCGAACTGATATGGATCTTAAGCTCGAATTGCCTGAACGTGTAGCCCGCCCAGAGCAGGTTGCAATCGAACTGTGCGGGGCGCTCAACCCTCTCGATCTCAACATCCGCAGTCTGTTCCGAGACGCGACGAACCAAGAGGGGGCGAATCCGAACCGAGGCGAAACACACCGACAATGGACGGACAGAAACGCGGCGAGCCAAAACGCGACGAACTGAGACAAGACACGCCGGGACTGGGGCGAGCCGAATACGTTTCGGCTCAACCTACTTAAACCCCATACGTAGCGTTTCCTGCCGAAGGAACCGCACTCCGAAGACCATGACCCCGTCGTAAATTACCAGGGAGTGCGCCCCGAAGGCAGCAATCCTGGTGCAATGTTTGATTCATCACTGCTATACTGAACTGAGCTGCATCATGCTGTGTTGAACTGTGATGTGTTCCATTGCATTGTGGGTTAAGTCGTCCTTGCGCTGTGATCAAACGGCCATGATCCCTCATGTGGAGTACGTTGCGCCCGCGCTCCCAAGACCACGTTCCCTCCTAAACGAAGCTGCGTCCGCGCTCCCAGGACTAACATAATCTTCAGCCAATGACACTGCGCCCGCGCTCTCAGGGCCACTATCCATTCTGCGAGTTGCATAGACGTGCCAGGGGACGCCGCGCGGGACGTGCAGTGGAGCGCGCCAGAGGGGCGTGCCAGGGGACGTCATGCCAGGGGGGCGCGCCAGTGGACGCGCCAGGGGACGTTGCGAGGGACGTTGCCAGGGACGCGACAGAGGCCGCGCCACGGAAAGGGCAGAGGGAGGTCCAGGGGGGCGCGCCCGGGGACGCGCCAGGGGACACGGAACGCACCAGGGGACGAATCGCCCTGCTCTGTAAGCCTCCTCCGCTGGGTCCGCGCTCCCAGGGCCACGATCCCAAGGGGTGCGCCACGGAACGTGCCAGGGGGACGAGCCACAGACGTGCCAGGAAGCACGCAAGCCAAGGGACGTGTCGAAAGACGCGCCATAGGGTGCGTCACGGAACAGACAAGGTGGCGAGCCGCCTTGCTCTGTAAGTCTTCTCCGCTGGATTCGCGCTCCCACGGCCACCATCCGTCGAGCAGGTCACTTGTTTCTCGCTCCAAGATACACGATCCCTACTCAGGCACCCTGGATCCGAACTCCCAACGCCACGGCCACTTGCAATTTACACTGGGTCCGCACTCCTAGCCCGACAATCCATTGCAAGTTACGCTGCGCCCGCGCTCCCAGGCCCAGGATCCATTGCAAATTCGACTGCGACTGCGCTCCAAGGGCCACGGCCCCTTGTAAATTACGCTGCGTCCGCGCCCCGAGGGCCAAGATCCTCTGAAAATTGCTCTGCGCCCGCGCTCCCATCGCCACACTCGCACTCCCAAGGCCACGACCATCGTGAACCACACTGCGTCCGCGCTCCCCGAAGGCCACAATCCTTCGCAAATTACGCAAAGAGTTCCGCACCCTCTTCTTCACTAAGGAGAATGTGGGTATGCGGACGTCCAAGGATTGGGTGTGGGGCGCATTTTTGCCTCGAGCGGGCCCTCGCGAAACGCATTTCCTTTGATGAGTGGGATTTTACAATTTCTTTCCTGTGCGATCGTTGGGCCTCTGCTGACCAGGGTCAATGCTAAGCCGGGTCAGTCAGGCTTTGCAGGATCCTGCAAGATCCTGCAGTATCCTGCACCCAGACATGGGTCAGTGCACCCCTGGCTCTGCAGGATCCTGCGAAGTCCAGCGCCCAGGCTGACCCCCGTTTACATTGACCCCATTCTCAAGGCCACCGAGATAGCCGGGGGATAGGTTTACCGCTTACCACCTGAAAAAGACACCATGGGCCCGCGTGAGAATATATTTTGATCATGAATGGCTATATGGGGCGGACAAAGTCACTATCCTGAGCAGCCCTCCTCGGGCCGCGCCCGCGCGCCGGGCACGGACCGCTCGGCACCTCGGCCAGCCTGGCCGACTCGTCCGCCTCCATGGTCCACTCGCAGTCCGAGTAGTTCAGGTAGTGGAGCGTGGGGTCCACGGCAAACAGCTCCTTGGACCCGTCCTCCGAAAACTCCGGCCAGCACGGCCGTCACGTCCCTCTCGCACTCGTTAACGGCCTTCAAGCTCTGGTCACCTCCGTCACCGCTCAAGCCATTGACCTCACCAGGCCTGGAGTCGAGCTGCGCTGAGAGGGCCCGGGGATGACTCCCCCGGGCGAAGTAGAAACAGCACGCCGTCAGATGCTTCTCCATCACCGGCCGCGCCAGCTCGTTGGCGCCGAGGTCCGCAGGGTTCTCCTCGCCCGGCACCTTCCTGATGTTCAGCTCCTTCTGGGCTCGCTTCTGCTGGACCCACAAGAGTGGGGCGTGGAGATGCCTTATCCTTCCAACTCCTCGCCGTCTGAAAACTCCTTTCGATGCCGTGGAATCCGCGCGCACGTTTACCCCCAGCTCCTGCCCGAGATCAGCTCCGAGGGACTTGATGCCCAAGCTGACTGCTGATGCCTTCGCTCCCGCCGTGAACTCCGCCTCGCCGCTGGACAACGCAATAGTCCCTTGGGTGCTCACTGAACTCCTCAACAGGTGCTTGCCGTAGAAAACCCACACTGCGCTCGTACTCTTCCGATCTGCCAGGTCTCCAGCCCAGTCTGAGTCGCAGTGGGTGTCGATCTCGTTGCTGTCGTGATACTGCTCTACCAGGTGCTGCACGCATCGGGGTTCGCCTTTCAAAAACCTCGCCAGGCGCTTCAGCCGTGCTAATCCGCCCAGCGATGGAACTGCCATGAACTTGCAACACTTGTTGGCCACGTACTGCAGGTGCGGAGCGTCTTGAGCCATGAAGCTCAGTCGCATACACAGCGATCGGTACATGTTGCACTCCTTCTCGCCCTGCAGTGGCGTCTCGTCGTAGTAGGTCGCGCCCTTCTCGCTCGGGGTGGTCACTGCCTTCGATCCTTTGCCTCGGGGCCCCAGTTGGTGAATGATGAACTCCGCGTGCCTGGGGCCCGGCTCGATCTCCATCCTGGCCCCGTCACGGCCATGAGCGTCCACGTAGGAGACCAGCCTGTTGAGGATAACAGCGTACTTGTCGTCAGTCACGTCTGGGCCGAGCAGCGCCTTCCTCTGAACGATCATGTGCTTCCGCAACTCGGCTTCTAGCGCGTCAAGCTGGAACTCCTCACCTTCGAATGCGAAATCATCTCCGTGAACCACGCCCGAGGAATCATGCCCGTCGTTGAATGCGCATGGGCAGGAGGTCCCTGCCGCGTACTTCGCCTCGAGCAGCTTGTCCTGGTAGAACTCCTCCCAGGCGTTGGCCGCGTCGCGCATGCCGTGCATCATCGGCAAGGGCTTGCCGAGATTGCCCTCCTCCGCGTCCTCGGCCGGGGGCCGAATGAAAATATTGCGCTCGACCTGCGGGTGGAAGTGCGCCCTGGAGATGTCCAGGATCAGAACCTTCTTGACTTTGAACTTTCCACTCGCACCGACCTTCGATCTCGCCATGGCCCTGCTCAGTGCCATCTTGATGCCTTCCCATGGAGGAGTGCCTGCAAAGACGTCCTCCATCCACGGGTTCTTCCACTTGAACTCCTTCGCGCAGATCCTCGAGCGAACCTGCGCGTCCACGTTGTCGCCCTTGTTGACGTCGACCCGGCGCGTGTCCAAGACCTCGCCGCCCTCGGCCTCGCGGGCGCCCACCTTCTCGTAGACCGGGAAGTCCTTCAGGAACTTCACCTCCTTGGCCCTGGCCACTCTCGCCTTCTCCGGGGGAAGGTGCGCGCCAGTGACCACCCAGATGTCCCCGTACTCCGGCAGGTGCACCATCTCCCGCGTCTCGGTGTCCGCAGTGTAGCCTTGATCCAGACTGCCGAGAGAGATGCCCGCGCCTCGCTCGAGCTTGTCACACTCGAGCTGCTTCCTGAATGAATCCGCGCAAGACCGCTGCCGCCAGCCTCGGAGGGTACAATGCCTTGTTCTTCGCCGCGCCGTCTAGCAGTTGGTAGTGTTCGTGAATCCTCCTCGTCGATTCCTGCGCTGAAAGGCCGCCAGCTCCTCCGCGATGCACCTCGAGTTGGTCATCCAGGCGGCGCATGCCTGCACCAGCTTCTCCGTCCAGGTGCCGTGCTCATCCTTGACCGGGACCGTCTGCCCCGCTTCACACTGGTCGTTCCTGACGCAGTAGACGCCATCCGCCGCCAGCAGCTCCAGGACTCCCTGCGTATGCCACGATCTCGCCGTATTCGGAGCCTCATGCAGGAAGTAGTGCTTGTCGCCGATCTGTCCCCAGTACATCTCTATGCAGGTGTCCATGTGATCGATAGCCTCCATCATCAGCTGCTTCATCGTCTCCTCGCTCACGCTGCCGAAACTGAGCGAAGCCGTCCATGCCGTGCAGCGAGGTGAGCCGATGAGCAAAAGTGGCCGCTGGGATCCCCGCAGCCGCCTAGCCTCCTCCTTCTGGACCGGGTCGTTCAGGTCCCAGCCCGTGCTCAGGTCGATCGCGAAGCCCGGCACCAGCCCGAACTCCTTCGACCTCTCCAGGAACTTGCCGCGCCCGAAGATCTCCGAGACCTTAGCCTCGAAGCTGCCGATCTCGATCCTCGTGCCACCGATCTTTGCCAGGTCGTAGTTCACCTCCTTCACGATCGAGTGCATCTCGGTGTCGCCCGCCGCGTCGGTGGACGGGGCCGCCGCACTCGCTGACCTCTTCCGTTGGCCTTCAACGTCCATTGGGCTAGCTGCCGCTGCCGCGGCCGCGCCCTGGGTCTCTGCCTCCATGGGCGCCGGCTCCTGTGGTGCCGAAACCGCCGCCGAACTCGACGAAGCCGCCGCTCCCGGTGAACTCGATGCTGGCTCCTCCAACCTTCGCTTCTTCGCCTCCGAGAGTCTCGCCTTGGAACCCTCGCTGTCCGCCATGGCCCTCTCGATGCGCGCTCGGCAGAACTCATGATGAGCTACCGCCGTCTCACCCTTCTGGGGCCGCCGCCAGAAAAGGCATCACGTTCTCCGCGTCATCGCCCGTCTTCTTCGGTCCCCACCACGGTAGGCCCTTGCACGCCCCGGCGAAGACCTTGTCGCTCCTCTGCTCCTCCGGCAGGCGCCGGGTGGTGTTGGCCTTGAAGTAGCCTTCCCTCGTGAGCACGATCACCTCGTCCGTTCTGTCCACGAGCCCCACGTACATGCCCGCGTGGAACCTCTCGTCCAGCTTCCTCCTGTGCTTGCCGCCCGCCACAGTGAGAAACATCAAGAGCTCGCCGAACTCCAGCAGTCTCCTTCTGTAGGGTCGCCCTCGACGCCGTTCAAACGCCGTGCGCCCGTCGTCCACAGACCTCTGGAACCGATTCGACAGCTGCTACGAGTAGCGGATGGCCCAGATGACAATCGGGCTCGCCGACTCGAACTTCGTCTTATGCCTCTCGGCCGCGTGGTGCACCAGAGCCCTCGTCAGAGCCTGCACCTCCCAAATGGCCCGCTCGATGTAACCGTTCTTCTGAGAGTCGCCGACCGGACTCTCCACAGGGATCACGTTCACCTCCGCGCCAGTACGCCTGATTTCCGAGATCGCTCCCTTCTTCAACGCGAGCAGCGCCGGCTCGCCATCGCTCTTGAAAACAAACTTCCCGTGGCCAGAGCCAATGTCCTGAGCCACGATCTTGCTGGAATGCTCGCGTCGGGTGCCCTTTGACTGCACCGCGTGACTATCCAGCCAGCGCGCGCCCATGGGCGGAGGTCCATCCTTCACTACCACGAACGGGATCGTCTCCTTCTCGAGCGTCTCGACCTCCGTCTTCTTCCCAAGAAAGCCGTAGTCTGTGTGGAGGGTCGCAAGGGTGTGCGAAACCTCCGATTGCCGATGTTGATCTGCTTTGCCTCTGCCTGCCACGCAATGCCTGCGCCACGCCCGATGTGGAAGATGGCAAACGTTGTGCTCGGCCACCTCCTCTGGAGTTGGCTGCATCGGGCTGGGTAGTACTCGAACCTTAGGCCGTCCAACTTCAACCGACTCGCCATGCAACGGGGCCTCATCGATGCCCAAATTGGAGGGTGCAGCACCAGCCGCCGCACTCTGGAGAATTTCAGGTTCCTCCTCCGAGGAGGAGGAGGAGGGAGGAGGAGGAGGAGGAGGGAGGAGGAGGAGGAGGAGGAAGGGGAGGAGGAGGAGGGGGAGGAGGAGGAGGCCGCAGAGCGAGCATCCTCCGCCCCGACGCCTGGCCGCCCCCTCCCCTTGGGCATCCCGTCGCGGTGCGGCGACGGGCCGTGCGGTGACCTCGCAGCCCCCAACGAGAGCTCACCGCACGGGCCCGTCGCCCGAGACGTCCTCGGAGGAGCGGCCCCCGTCCCAAGACCGCACGGCCACCCCGAGCCCCCGCTGCCTCACCGCGCGGTATGGTCACCGCACCGTTTTTGGAGCCCCTCCACTCCCTCCCTCCCTCCCGCCCACTCACCCCACCCTCCCTCCTTCCCCCCCCCCCGCCTCCCTCCCTCACCCCCTCGGCCCCACCAACGCCCCCCTCGGGGATCTACTGACCTGGGTCCATGCAGGCCCGGGTCAGTCAGGCCTTGCAGGATGCACCCGAGCCCGGAGCAGTGCAGCCCTGGCTGCGCAGGATCCTGCAAGGCCTGGCGCTCTGATTGACCTGGATGTCTTTCAGATGGGGTCGGAGCAGATGGGGTCGGAGGATCGCACCGCATCGCCGATATAGCGGCGATACAACGACGATCTATCGGCGATTTATCGGCGATGCACTGGCGATGCATCGCCGCATCGGCGATGCATCGGCGATGCATCGGCTAGTGGCGCGATCTTCCGACCCCCTCTACTCCGACCACATCTGGGAGGCCACATATGACCCCCGCGTGCATTGACCTCCTCCTCTTGAGCCCCGCCCCCCCCTGCCTGCGGAGCACCGGGCCCTGGTGGACGCTGAGGCGGTGGACCCAGCCTCAGGTCGGGCGTGTCCCCCTACAGGCGGATTCCGTACGAAACATAAAAGATATACCCCAACAAATGCCCAAAACATGCCCAACAATACACCGAACATCGTCCCCCGACTATGTTTTTACTATTTGGGAAGATTCGTCCTGTAGAGGGACATGATGGGCCTGATTTCCACCACAACCACCACAAGTTGGAGGGGGAGAGGCTCCTCCTCCTCCTCCTCCTCCTCCTCCTCCTCCTCCTCCTCCAACCTATGGTGGTGGTGGTGGTGGACAACAGGCCCATCACCAGCCGCCTCCCGCCGAGGCCGCCGCCGTCGCCTCCTGCGGCGGCAGCTCCGCCGCCGGGGCCTCCGGGGGCGGCCCCTCCGGAGGCGGCGCGTCCCTCGCGGCCGCGGCGGCCTCGCGGCGGAGGGGGAGGGCGTGCGGGCTACCACGGAGGGGCAGGGGACGCGCAGCTGGCCCAAACCCCCTCGCGTTGTGTGAGAAAATCACGACGGGATGTTTGTCGCTGTGTTCGGCCTCCGGGGGCCCTTCCCGGGCCTCGGGGCCGTCAGAAAACGACTCGGGACGAAGAGCCAGTCCTGGGGGAGGGGTCCAGACCTCTGGGGGTCGACGTTGCGCAGCAATTCGGGGGCGCGCAAACATGGATTCGCGATCTATGGCTTTGGCGCGCGGTTGCCAAATCCATGGATCGGTGGGGGGGGCATCCCCAAAATGTGGGCGGTGCCGCCTTGTTCGGCGGCGGAGATCCGCGATTTCCCATGGAAGCGAGACCCGTCGCTAATCCACGCCCCCTTAATCCATGTTTGCGATCGCCTGCGAGAGGCAGGGGACGGCACAGGCGCCATCCTTTGGAGCTCCGCGCGGAGCTGTGAAAGTTTCTGCCTACGCCGCTCGTGTGTGCCTCGAGCGGTGGCTGGCCGCCGCCGATGCGTCGCTGATGCGGCGGGATCCGGAGCCCGATATCGCAGACGACTTCCCGGATGCAGGCCTGGCTTCGTGGATGCGAAATCTGGAGCACGACTCCATCCCGTCGCCGCAGATGCGTCGCCGACGCAGTGGCGATGCGGTTCGGTCCTGCCCCCTAGGAGAAGTACGAAATTTGGGAAAAACATTACGTTATCGGGGAGGGGGAAGGGTAGGGGGCATACCGCGCGGTATGGCCCAGAAGGTAAAAATTAGCCTGATGAAAGACCCAACCATATGCAGATGCGAATGCCGCATTCCGGGTACCGATTTCGGTGGAGCTCCTCATGGGGCCACGAAGCGTGTGAGGGGTGTGCCGAATTGGGTGCGGTGGAGCTCTTTCGGGGCCACGAAGCGTGTGAAGGGTGTGCCGAAATGGGCGGGGGGGCGCATGCAAACTCTGCCACTGGGGCCTTCGGTGGAGTGCCCTGTCGGGCCGCGAAGCGTGTGAGTGATGTGCCGAAATAGGCGGGGGGGACGCACGCGAACCCTGCCAGTGGGGCCTTCGGCGGAGCTCCCTATGGGGCCACGAAGCGTGTAAGGGGTGTGCCGAAACGAGCGGGGGAACGCATGCAAACTCTGCCATTGTGGCCTTCGGTGGAGCTCCCTACGGGGCCACGAAGCACGTGAGGGGTGTGCCGAAATGGGCGGGGGGACGCATGCGAACCATGCCGCTGGGGCCTTCGGTGGGGCTCCCTTTGGGGCCACGAAGCACGTGAGGGGTGCGCCGAAATTAGCCGGGGGACGTATGCGAAGCCTGCCACTGGAGCATTCGGTGGAGCTCCCCTTGGGGCCACGAAGCACGTGAGGGGTGCGCCGAAATGAGCCGGGGTGCGCACGCAAACCCTGCCACTAGGGCCTTCCGCGGAGCTCTCATGGGGCCACGAAGCGCGTGGGGGGCGTGCCGACATGGGCGGAGGGACGTATGCGAACTCTGCCACTGGGGCCTTCGGTGGAGTTCCCTCCGGGGCCACGAAGCGTGTTAGGGGTGCGTCGAAATAGGCGGGGGGGCGCATGCGAACCCTGCAACTGGGTTTTCGGTGGAACTCCCTATGGGGCCACGAAGTGTGTGAGGGGCGTGCCAACATGGGCGGGGGGGGGGGGCATGCGAACCCTGCCACTGGGACCTTCGGCAGAGCTCCCTTGGGGCCACGAAGCGCGTGAGGGGCGCGTCGAAATAGGCGGGGGAGCGCATGCGAACCCTGTCGCTGGGGCCTTCGGTGGAGCTCCCGATTGGGTCACGAACCGGGTGGCGGGTGCGCCGTGGACGGGGGGGCGCGTGCGAACCGTGTCACTGGGTTATTTTTCTCCGACGCCCGCGCGGCGCGCGCGGCGCGCGCCGTTCGCCACTGGCCTCAGGGCAGCCCATCTTGGGCCGCCGCTCGGGCGCCCAAAGGCGCGCCCGTCCGCGCCCTCGCCAAAGTGGCACGGAGGGCCTGCAGCACCGCACGAGGATGCCGATCAAGAGAAAGTGAGGCGCCTCTGTGGTCGCCCCGACTTCGGGCCCAGGCCGGCACGAATCAGCTCGACCTTCCTGATCCTGGCCCTGAGCGCTTGGCCGTCCACGGTCTTGCGCTCGCCGCCGAAAATCCTGTGTTCCCCCTTGACCTCGCGAGCGTAGCAGTGGCACCGCCTGTGCACTCTGTAGGCGCTGATCGAGATCAGGTCGCGCTCGGCGGCCACTCCCTGGGAGCCAGATCCAGCGGCCGCGCCCTCACTGAGGCGCGGCCGCTGGATCTGACCGAGGACCCCTTGCCTGAACCCCCTGGGGTGCGCATCTCCTGCTCAGGATCTTCGTCTGAGCCCTCGGCCTCCAGCCTGCTGGCCGCTGCCAAGGTCGCGGCGACCGCTCCCGCTGCAGGCGTGGCTGAGGCAGGCCGCCTCCGCGCGGCCCCGCTGGCGCCAGGGGCGAAAGCCTTCTCGTTGCAGGCGTGGCCGCGGAGCTTCTTGATGCCGTTGGCGCCCCAGGCCGTGCGCAAGCACTCGACGCACTGCACTCCGCCGTTCGCGATCTCGATCGCATCGTGGTGCGCGGGCGAAAGGGGCGGGCCCTGCTTGCGCCACTTGTAGCTTTCGTCGAAATCCCGGCGAAGCTGGCCTGCCCCCCCGCCCGCTGGGCCGATCCGATGGGCGACCCCATCGAGCGCGAGGGCCGCGATCTTCCTTGCAGCCCTGGCGCTGGGCCGGGGGGCAGAACGCATTCGCCGCCAACTTAGCGCGCCTGTCCGCTTCCATGTTGCCTTCCTCTCTCGCCTTGTGACCCCCCTCTGTGGCGTCCTTCATCGCGCCGTTGCCCTTGACCTTCTTGATGGCGAGGCCCTGCTCGCCGATTCCGCAGAAGTCGTCGAGCGCCGCCCGCGCCCCGCGCCGCGCCGCCCCCCGTGCAGAAGCGGCAGCGGCAGTAGCATCCCGACCGCGCCCCAGCAAGCCCTTCGCGACAGCGACGCGTCGAACGAGGCGTTGATCGGCGGCAAGAAGTTCTCGAACAGCATGGGAAGCCCCATCAGCTCGGCCCCGCCAACCGACTGCAAAGGCCCAGGAAGCGGTGCCCCAAGTGCCTTGACCGCAGAGCCCGGGCCAGGGCCCCCCCGTTCGCCCCCCGGCGGAAGCTGAGCCACCGCACTGCCAGACGCGGCAATCGAGTGCCCCAAACAGGGCACTGTCGGGGAACAGCTCGACGTCAGCGAACGGCGCCCCGTCGTCGTCGTCCTTGATCCACTGGGCGCGCGCCAGCAGGTCGTCGCCAGGCGGTCTCCAGAACTGGCGGGGCTCAGGAAGGAGGAGCCTCTCCACCAGGGCCCTGATCGTGATGCTGCTGTGGAAAGCCGAGAGCTTCGCCATCCACGCAGGAAGTTCATGGCTCGGGCAGCTCTCCTGGCACTCGATGTGCCCGTGCCAGAGCGTGCCAGGGATGGCAGGGTACAGCTGGCAACACGGCGTGGCCGCCAGCCTAGGGGGCGCGTAGGACCTCCTGTCGTTAGCCCACCGCCGTTGCCCCACCACCGACCTCAAGTAGGCCCGTTCGTCGCGGGAAAGGTTCTTCCACTTGCCGCCCTCGGAAAAGCTGCCTTTCCCGTTGTTGATCTAGCGCCTCGCGCAGAATGAGGACTCCCTGGATGAGGTCATCGCGCGCACTGTTGGCGAGCTGCTGCAGCTGCCAAGTTCCGACGTCCATGATGAGGACACTCTTGAAGCACAAGGGCGAAAGGACTAGCAGGTCGAGCTTCTCGCCGTTGGGCCTGATCAGCTCGCGCATGCCTGCCGCCGCGTGCCCGATCCGACCCAGCGAGGGCACCGCAGCACCGAGCGGGCCCCTGACTTTCTCCCACTTCGCAGCGGCGTCGACCGCCCAGTTGAACGCGGCCTCCAGCAGGGGCCCAGTTCTCCCACGGCGCTCTGGCGAGGCTGATGCACGGCCCAGCGTGGCCGCAACGATCGGGTCGACTGTGTCCGAGCCTCCAACCAAAAGACAGGCTGTGAGCGACTTGCCATGGGGCCTAGGCTCGATGGCGCGCCTGGCCACAGTGCGCGAGTGCCGGGGCTCCGCGTCGCTGAGCCCCGCGCAGTTGACCCCGTAGAAGAGGCTTGGCGCTAGCCCTGTCGAGGCAATCTTCGCAGCGGCTGCTCGACCTCGCCGAAGCCCGAGGAGCCTTTGATTGCGCGGAAGCCTGAGCTTCTTCTGCGCGGCCCGCATCAAACGCATGACGTTCGTCCTGTTGCCGCCCTCGGCGCGGTCCACGCTCGAGCTCCTGACCTGCGCGATGCCGGCCGCGCCCGTGGCTCTGCCCAGGAAAATCTGCAGCGTGTCCCTGAGCGTCGTGCTACTGGCGAGCGCCCTCGACTTCTCAGAGGCTATCTTGAGCGTGACCTTGGAGACCGCGCGCGCGACCGCTTTGGCCGCAATGGGGGTCCTTGGCAACCCGCTCGGATCGACCCCTCCCTAAGCGCTGCAGGACCAAGTCGCCGGCGACTACTGCTGGCGCCACCGCCTGGTTTTGCGCCGCCATTGAGTCGAGCGGCGCGAGCAGCATCACCTTCATGAAGGTTGTCGCGGACGCCCCCCGCCAGCACCGTCTCCAGGATAACCATCTCGCCCGAGCAGCGCGGCTCGAGGCCCTGTAGAGCGACGCCTGCAACTTTGCCAACCACAGCGGGAACCCATGCCGCTTGCAAGCGCCCACCAGGTGCTTGTGCACAGAATTTGCTCGGAGGCGCTGCAGGGGCCCAGGGGGGCGGAAGCGGGCGCCCAGTCCTGGCTGTCACGGGCGGCCGCCAGCATCTGCGCCCACTCGGGCCGAGCTCGCTGCTGCCAGACCGCTCTATCGAAACTTTTCCCAGAGCCCGCCCGCCAGCGTGGCCTGTCGTGGTCTAGCCCCCGCTGCTTCGAAATCGGCCTGCGAAGCCTGCCGTGAACGCGGACGATGGCCCCCATC